CAGAAGCAGCTCTAGAATCCCAGGGTCTCAGCGGCTTTGGAATAGGGGTGCCCAAAATAGCCAGCCCCAAGAAGCATAACAAGCCAACTCTCACCTCAGGGACCAGCAGTCTGTGAAGAAGACATATCTGAATGCAAATGGGGCAGAAGGGGAAAAGGGGAAATGGGAAGGTGACACTGCAGCCTCCTCAGTGGACTTAACTTCAAATCTCACTTCCAACCTTCCTGCAGCACCCGCTCCATGTGGAAATAGCTGGTCATTTAACAAGAGGCTGGGTTCGGTAAAGCTCAGACCCAGCTCTGGCTTTGGTAGGAACAGAGGCTAGACAACAGAAAAGGCTTTCCGGCCTTTGAGCTAGAAAGGGGGGCCTGAGCCAGCATCTCCACAAGTGCTGCCCCAGAGATCACAGAACAAAGAGGTGCACTCTGCCTTTGGGACTCAGGCTCAAGTCGGGCTTCCTCTCCTGGTCAGTCCCTGTGGCCAAAAGCCCTTCAATCTGGGGACACACAACCCAGGAAGAAAGGCCTCCAGTCCCATCCCCCACTCAGATTCCCATTGCAGCCCTAAACTTCCACTTCAGCCCTTTCTACAACTGAAAACTCTGCCCCTAGGGGTCATTGCCCTCCACCAAAGTTTCTTCCTCGACCCACCTCTTGAATCACACAACCCAGCACAGGCTCCTAAAGTGAACAGTCAAGCCCACGGGTTCTCATTTGCATGTATTCGCATAATCACTAACAATGCTGCCAGCTCTACATTTTAAAAAGCACTTTCTATTACATTATCTCATTTTATCTTCACAATGGGCCAAGAGGGAGGGAGGGAGGAGGGAAGGAATTGCAAATCCCTATTTCCTAGATGCAGAAACCAAGGCTCCAGGCATGGGTCTGGGAGGCAGCAATCCTAGATTCAAACTTATCACTTCTCGGCTCCAAGCCCTTGGGCAAGTCACTAATTATTAACCTTTTATCTACCAAAATGTGACTACTTGCATCAGAATCAACTGGGATACTTGTGAAAATTTTAGATTCTAGGCCTGATTACATACCTATGGAACCAGAATTTCTGAGGGGATGGTCCAGGGATCTGCATTTAACAAACATCCCAGATGATTCCCATGCATACTAAAGTTTGAGAATCTTTAATTTAGAGTCTCAGTTTCTTCATCTGTAAAATAGTGAGGATGATACCAAAACCACCTGCAAAGGGCTCTTAAGAAGATTAAATGAAATAATGTATGCAAAGGCCTGACACATACAATAGGTTTCTATAAATGTCATTTGAACCCGAATTAACTGACTAGCATCACGCTGGCACTACCCAGCTCACAGCTTGCTCCCTTCAAATCCACCAGCATCTGCCTTCTCTATCCTAAGCCCGGAAGAGTGAGTCTAGTTTAGATGAAGACTGGTATATAGGAAGCCCCCAAGGAGGAAATGAAAGAATGATAATGGCCACGATCTCTCTTGTACAATTACAAAACTCATTTGAGCTTCATAATCACCTTATGAGGAAAGTTGAGTGACTTGTCCAAGGTAACACAGCTCATCAATCTCGGTCAGGTCAACAAGCCTACAGCTCACACTACTAGAGCTTTAACTGTGCTCCTAATATCAAAGGTATTGGGCAGAGGAATCTCAATCACATAATTAGTTTAAAGAGAGGCTGAAACCCATTCCTTCACAGCTTCTTCAACCTTAGTCATCCAACCTCCATGAAGTGTTGGTGTCTGTCGACTTGAAGTAGACTGTGAGTGTCTTGACGGCACTGAGAGTGACTTGTTTATACTGGCTGCAGTATGCAGAGCATACAATACATGCTCAGTAAATGTTCATTAAATAAATAAAAGGGAAAGGAGGTAGATTCGTTAAATGAAGAGCTATCGGCCAGAGCTCACAGTTAAGATCTCTGAGCCAGGATTTCCCTCTAATGGAAAGCCCGGGGAGAAGAGTGAGATCTTAGGCAGGCTTTCAACACACCCCTCCTTCCAAGTTCCCCCTGCCTTCACCTCTAGATCTTGTCCAGAAGCTCTTTTATAGCTTCTGTTGAAATCTGAACCCAACACAATCCAGACACTATGAGGAGGGAGGGAAAGAAAGATTAAACAACATCTGACGAATGAGGAGCCCAAGAAAGGGGACCTAGACTCTGGCAGCTGGAAAGATCCAGGTGCTTAACTTCACCTTCTTGAAGTTATATAACTCCCCCACACTGCACTTTCTGACCTGGCAGGGGCCTTTCTGATTCTAAAGTCCCTCAGAGTTAAGATCTCCCTGATTCACCCAAAGTCCTCACCTCATCATTCTTCTGCAGGAAGTCCTACTCCCCACCCCCATCTCAGTTTTAATCTAATCCCTCTGGTTCAATCCTCAGAGAATCTGGCAGGGAATGGTTCCTTTCCCTGCAAAATAGGATAGATGCTCGTCCCTGTCCGGTCCTTATCCAGACTTAAGGAAAACTGAGAGTTTCCCTGACATTCCTTCCACCTCTACCCCTAACCCTGTTTCACCATCACCATTTCTTCCTCCTTTACCTTCAATCCTTGTACCGTGGGGAAAGCCTCAGATCCTGACCCCTGAAAGGCCCCAGTGTCTCCCAGCTCTAGGCAGCCAGCTGGAAGGTTCCAGGCTGTAATAATTCCAACATCCCAGAAGAGCTCAGTTTCCCCAGCCCCCACCAGTTCATTTCTTGGCTGATGATCTGGTGATTTCCAAATACTCCTGCCACTACTTCCAGAACCCACACTCCCAAAAAGATCACTGTGAAGTACAGGGCTCAGCACAGGGCAGCCTCAAGCCAAAAGGCTGGGAGTTGTGAGAAGAATCCTATTTCCCTTTTGGGTTCTTAAGATCAGATAAAGAGATTTCAGAGGAATGTGAGGTCCTAAGGATGCTGGGGGTCAGAAAGGAGAGAAAGAGGGGAAACTCTGCTAAGTCACCTGCCATAGCCAAGAGGAGTACTAAAAAGGAAAGGGAGATGAATAATAGAAGAGAATAAGGTGAAAGGCAAGATGGATGGAGTGAAAGGTAGAGAAGTACACACACACACACACACACAAACGGACTGTCAAGTCTTGATTCCTCCCCTCCACCAAATTACAACTGGTGGGCCCACAGCAACCTGTCCTCTGCCCCTCTCCCTTCCTCCTCCCTGGCTCCTACCTGAGGATGGGGCCCTGGAGGTGGCTCCTCTGCACAGGAACAGGGTTTGCCATGAGAATCAAAATTTTCTAATTCGGAGCATCAAAATGCCGCCCCCAGGGCCCACGGCCCCTGAGGGAAACGAATCCCTCTTAGGCCACTGACTTGCTCCTCAAGGTCTCAGCAGAACTGAGTGACTGACCAGACAGAACTTTGGGGAGGGAAACAGGAGGAGCCTGGCTGGAGGAGGAAGTGACTGATGAGGCAGAGACCAGCCCACAGCAATTGGGTGAGAGGCCGCGGGAAAAGTTTCACGTCTGAATCAGACTGAAACAAGAATCTGTTTTCAGAAGAATCCCAGAAAGGACAGAAATAGCACAGGCCAGGCCCCTGATCTGAGGAGGTGGGGCTCCTCTCTGAAAAGGGTTAGCAGGAGGCATAAGGGTGCATCCTGAATCTGTTGTAGAAAGTCCGCAGTGGGAGGGGAAGAGGCCCTGCAAGTGTCCACCAGAGGGGCTAGAACAGATTCAGTTCCCTCCCAGGGTTTTTGTCAGATTGAGAGTTAACGCACCTGAAAGAATGGAAGAAAGACGGAAAGGGAATTAGAAACTGCAGGGGAGGGGCTTAGCGAGGCTCCGATCAGGGCATCCTTAACCAGAGACCCTCTCAACCAAGAGGGAAGCCCCTATCCCGCATCCACCACCCCAAGCAGTGAAAGCCAGGAGCACTTGCTCACAGAAACCAAGAGGTCGGGTTAACGGGCAAGTCACGTTAACATTGCCAGCCCCAGTTTTCTCATCTTAAAAAAGGGGATTAGGGGATAACTATGAATTAACTGGAGAGAGGTAATCCGGCCCAGAGGGAGAAGAAAAGTGACGGGAAGGCCAAGAAAAGGCCTGGGGACTGGGACCCCTCTTCCGCCTCCAGGCTTTGCTCTTTTTGCTCAAGTTGGAGATGAAAGAACCTGGCCTCTGCAGCTCAAAGAGGACGTGCGCACACAGCCCCAGCCCGCCTCCAGATTGGCTGAGGGGTGACGTCACCAATACAAGTGCTTTGGGGCAGCGATTGGCCAGTCGAGGAGCTGGGCGGGACCAAGGAGGAGCCGGGGATGAAGCCAAACGCATCCACGAAAGAGTTCCGCGACTACAATCTCCTTAATCTAGGGTCTAGGCCTGGGGGTAATGTGGAAACGATGACAGGGAACTAGTAGAGACGAATATGACAGGAAAAGGGGGAAAGAGAAGAAACAGGCCAAGAGCCAGGATTTTATGACGGGAAGTCTCCTCCCCCCAGCCCCAAAAAGCAGGGAGAAATTAAAACACCTTGTCACCGTGCCAGAACCTTGAGGGATTATAAACAAATGAAGTTTGGGAACCTGCTGTTTCTCAGCTCCACTGAGTACTGAGACAAGTGGAAGGGGGCTTCAGCAGCAACGAGGGGAGTGGAGGTTAGATAACAACGAGTTGTTTTCTAGTGAACTCGTTAGCCATGAGGCAGGGCTGCTGCAGAGTTTGCAGGAAAGGAAACTCTGGACTCTCGGATTCTATCTATTCTCTCTGTGCCCGGCCACCCTGCCCCTCCCTCCCCCCCACCCCCAAACACACACACGTTAGTGTTTTATGAAAGACAGGACTAGACCCAGAGTCAGAGACTAAGAACTGCCATCTAGGAGATGAGGGACAAGACATCATTTGGCCTGTTCTGTGGACCTGCTTGCTTGAGGGATAGGGATGGAAGGCGGGAATGGGGGCAGGTGGTAGCCAGCTGCACACAGCCTGGTACAGCAACAAACATCAAGCCAGGCCAGCTCCCCTCCTTCCCCTAACTCCAGGCCCTCACTCTAGGCCCTGCCACCCTGTACCAGCACTCCAGATGTCTGGGATTCTCCCTGGCTCCTTATTCCACAGGGGCCAGGAGGCAGTGGAAGCAGAAACTGGGGAATATACAAAGCATGGAGCTGCAGAAGCCAAGAGCAACCAGATCTCTACCTTACCCAAGCAATGCTGCTGCCCTCACTCCCCTAGTTTCCCATTTCTATACAAGCAGTCCCAGTTCTTGCAGCTGGTTGGGCACAGTGGCGGGGGTGGCTCCAGAGATAAAAATAGCCCCCTTGGTGGCAGAGCTGGGGTGCCATCCTGGGAGGTGGCAGGCTTCAGGTTGACATGGCAGCAGTCTCTAGGCACTGGACAGAAGAGCTGGGTGGAGCGAGGGTGGGGAGAGAATGGGGCAGGGCCTGTGGAAGACTAGAGGGTAATGGGAGAAGGACAGAAATCAGGTGAGCAGAGGAAAATGAGGGAAAGAAGGTACTAAAGAGGCAGGGAGGAAAGGGAGATTCGAAAGGTACTGTAAAAAGGGGTCTGAGAAACACTGAAGAGGAGGGAGAGGAGTCAGCTCTCACCTTGCTTCTGTCTGAAGGCAAAGTCCCCTCTGCCTCCTGACCAGAAGTTTTTTCCAATAGGTGTTCCTAGCAATAGCGCAGCACGGCTCAAGTCAGATGAGGAAAGGGGTAATAATCTAAGCAACTTGAGCCTTAGCCCAGACTAATAAGAACCCAATATCCCAGCTCCCAGCCAAGTACACAAATGAGTCACTTCTCCTTCAGGCTTCAGCCCTTGAGAGACAGAGAAACTGGGAGGGGTGGGCAAGAAAGTCAGAGGAAGGCAAATCGGAGAAAAGGATCCCAGGACCCAGTCCAGAAGAACTTTCTCTGGTTCCCTTGACCAGCCCTCTTCTCCCTTCCTGAACTATTTAATTCTGCTTATTAACCACCTCCACATGGACCACCCCACCAGCCCTCCAAACCATATCTCAACAGATGTTGCCAGCAGATGCCCTGCTTCCAGGGGGCCTAACAGGTGTTGAAGATGGCCTGGGATGAGAGTAAGTTGGAAGCTTGGCAAGGGACAGGCTGCAGGCGTGATAGGAATAGCACTAAATTGTGGATCAGTGGAATTTGGGTCTGGTCCCAGCCCTGCCTCCCACCTTACCAGCTATCTCTGGGCATCAGTTTCCTCCCCTGTAACACTTTGTGGTTCTCAGATTCAATGCCTGGGTTGGAGGCACCAGTGAAGTAGGATGCCTGGGTCTTGATTCATTCTCAGTTCAGGTTCATCCTGACTGGCTCACCGCTTCCCCCAACTCATTCCTAAGCTGATGCTTAAATGAGGAGAGTGGCTTTCTTCTTTATCATAGAAAGGTCATATTCTAACCTCCAGGAACTTTCCAGGAAGTTCTCCTGCATATCTATCTTCAATCCATCTTGCTGCAATCAAAACAACAGCAAATTTTCTTGGCATTTCAAATAAAACAGAAAGAAAAAGAACAGGCAGGGCAGATAAGTCTTCAGGGTGCGTCTGGTACAGTTTGATTTATTTTATTTTTTTCAGATTGGAATTTCTAAAGCTACTGCTTGGTAGAGAGATGGCCAGAGTTTAAGGAGCTTGGCAACACTGTAGGCACATGTGCTCACTCAGCCCAGGCCCCAAGAAGTTTCCAAACAAGGCGGGCATAGAGAATAGAACTAGGGAGATGGTGCCAAGTTAGATACACAAGAGCTGATAAACAGGGGAGCAGGGAAGCCAAGGAATAAGAATGAAAGGAGAAGCTTCTCTAGCCTCCAAGTCCCTCCTGCTGGAGAGTCACTAAGCCCCCTGGAAGCCAACCTTCCTTCTAAACCTACATGGTGCCAACACCAGCTGGCAGCCTAATCATCCTACTGCAGCCACCATAATTATTTGCAAATCTGACTTCTCATTGCAGCTGCAGAATCAACTGACCTGAGCCTGGCTTTATCCAACAGCACCACCTGAAGCCCCCCTCTACCCTTCTAGCTCTTCTCCCAGCCCACACCCCCAGGCGTCCCTCTGGATATGCCCTGGCTCTTTTCCCACCAAGCCTGCTTCTCCACCAAAACCCCATTACCGCACCCTCAGTGGACTTCTGCCAGGTCTGGGATGCTGAAGCAGAATCCTAACCTGATGTTTTCTTCCCAGGCAGGGATAAGCTCCATAGATGCAGCAGGAGCTGAGGGGAGAGGGGCAGCTGCAGGACTGGGGGTGGGGGTGCTATTAGGGACAGAGGGGCAAGAGCACTGGCATTAGGGACCTTCCTGCATTGAATGGATAACATCTCAGTTTTCTCCTTTTCCCTTTCAGTAGCCCTTCTTCCCCCTCAATTCCCATCTTAGCCCCACTCAGTGTTCCCAGGATTCTCTCTCACTTCTCTTGAACCATTAAGTCTTCCTCCCTTAGGGGACAATCTCATTACCTAACAACTTCTACTCTCCCAGTTGTCTCACCTTCACCCCACCTGCTGCCCTGGTTTTGTCCCTCTTTCTCTGCTGTTGTCCTGAAGAGAATTGGAAAATAGCTACTCAACTTCTATACCTGAGAAAAATCAGCCCCCGGAGATCAAAGGCAATTACTTGGCTCCCTCCCCAGAGCTACTAAGAGGATGAGGTCACTGAGAAGGCAAAAGAAAGGTGTTGCAGAATCCAAGAGTTGAGGCCAGACTCGTAAGGTGGCCCCAAAGGGTGTCTGTAGCAAACTTACCATGCACCATCCTCACCACAATAACACCTGAGTGAGGGGGGGCCCCAGATTCCTAGCCAAGGTGCAGGAGCAATAAGGTGGCCCCAAAGGGTGCCTGTAGCAAACTTACCATGCACCATCATCACCACAATAACACCTGGGTGAGGGGGGCCCCAGATTCCTAGCCAAGGTGCAGGAGCAGGAGTTTGGGACATGATTTGGAAGAGTCTTGATGATGAATGCTTGTTTGGAGCGGGTGAGGCAGGTGTCTGAGCTTAGAGAATAAAAGACTGAGGAAGAGAGAGAGGAAGTGGGACCAAAGAGAGAGCAAAATGGAGCCTAGCAGAGCAAGAGGAACCAAAGAAAGATGGGCGCAAAGGAGGAAAGGGACAGAGGGAAGGATGTAGGAAGAATTAAAGAAGAGGAAAACAGAGGCAACGGAGAAGTTGGAACCAAATCCTCAGTGCTTCCTTTAAAGACTCAAAAGAGAGGGAAGGTTCCCAGCTTCTCCATCCCAGTCTGATGGGAGTGGCCAAAAAAAAGAGGGGAAGATGGGGGACAACCACTCACTTCACTGATTTCAGGAACTCCCTGGGCAGCAGGCAGGTGGAAAGAATCTAGAGCTATCCAGGCTTCTCGCCTACTGAGTCTCTCACCTGATTTCCCAGTCTCATAGTATCCCCAACCTAATTCACCTCCCTGGCAAAGGTGATAAATGCAAGCTCAAATGTGGAATCTCTCAGTCTTTCCAACTGGCCTCCTGGGGCTCCTGAGCAAGCA